AATTAAGGCAAAAAGAATATTAGCTAAAAAAAAACAAGTAGGCACCAGGCTCCTCCTGCAAACCTCACATTGGACCCTAACTTTCTCAAACAGTGGTAAATGATCTGCAATCTCGTTTCCCTTTTCATTCAGATTACTGAGAGACCCACGGCTGCTCTTCACTGTTTCACCTTCAAAAGAGGTTTTATGCAAATTGCTCACAGTGATGTAGCAGAGCCCTGATAGAGGTGTTAGCCTAAAAGTGAAAACATTTTCCTGAGTGTTTACTTTAATACAAGTGCACTCACTCTGAATTATTCTGAAATAACTCGTTCCACATGAACTGTCAAACAATTCTTTTTGCTGAGTGGTTTACATTGCAGAAACAGAAATCTCCCCTAGCTCTGTAGTTCATTAAAGAAATTGCCGTCTAGAGACACTTTCCAGTCGTAGATCTACATATTAGCCGATATGTCTTTGTACTTATGTTTTTATCATACAAGGACAAATCGGTGAGGGGGAAAATCAAACATTTAATATAATTATATGTATTCATCAGAGAAAACGTATGTCTTATAAAAACCACTGGATGCACAATAATTGCCACATATATCAATCCCACTAAGAAATGCTACTGTTGATTTTTTATCATTTATACTTTACTTTTGTTTACTAATAGGAATTTTTTTGGACATTCATTTCATAAAATATGATTCCCTGTAACCATTCAGTATATTTATGACAGTTTGGTTTCTGGGAGCTGCTCTGAAAAATGGGAGAAAAAAAAAACATCTTTTCAGTGAAGCAGCTGTGTGTTTTTCTAAGAAATCGGAGAATAGCCATTTACCAAAACTCGGTTGATTATAATCTCAGGGCAATAATTTGAAACCAGTTTTAAGGATCTGCATCCATTTAGCGAGCAGAAGAGTATGGGGGGGCTAAAATGAATTTCCACATCAACCACACAGGGTCTACCATGTTTCAAAAAGTGCTGTAAATATGATATATATACATATATATATATATATATATATATATATA